TTTGCTTTGTAAAGATAATAGCCACGTTTGTACCTCACATATGCAACAATTGCAGTCAAAGAGCATCTGATTTCCCCCACAAATAATTACTCTCTGAACTTTCAAAAACCCTTGAGGGTGTTTAACAGCACTTACGGATGTCCTGAAAGTACTAATGGACTGATATAACCGTCATTAACAAAGGGTAAAAAAATGACATTAAAACAAAAAAATATGACACAACCAATTTAACCTTAAAAATCTCTACCTCGCAGATACAGGAAGAGCCAGTGGTGGATTGAATTTAAAACTTTAAACTTGCAAAAGAAATCTTACAATCCAAGATTTTTAATCAGCTCCCCGAAATACATCTAATTGTTCTCAAAACTGTAAATCCTCAGTTCCATGGTAAAAAAAAAGAAGTTATATATTCATGCAGAATAACTAGATGGATTAAAAAACACAACTGGGTTGAAAATATTTCGCTCTTGGACAGAACTGATATGATTAGAAGATTGAGTGTTTTGGAAATACCCCCAGTAACTAATCTTCAGGCTTCCTCTATGATCCAAATCTAAAGGTTTTACACAAGAGGAATAAGCTCTGGCTATATACTGATTTTGTCTTGTTGCTATGTAACATTTTACATGCTGACTGGATCTGGTATCACTGTCATTGGTGCGTTCGACTGACCCAAAAAGTAATTTTACATTTATAAGATTTCCATCTGAAACGGCTGCTTGTCCCAGGTCAGAGGAACTAGCAGTTTGTGCTGCATTATAACTATCACTTCCATTTGCACAAAAGACAGAGGGAACCTTTCCTTGCGACCTAGAAATACATCAAATTGTACCAAATATCAAATTCTGACAGCAAACTTTAAATTGTTTAACTCCTAAGCAATCTCGCACAAGGTCGCCTGCGAATGAAAAATCCCAGAATGGAGGAAGAGTGACATTCTGTGGCATTAAGCAGACAGTTAAGGTGGAAGACTTTCTGCCTACCATCTGCTGACTATCTCTGACCTTGGTAATTTCATGCCATTCTGCTTTCTTTCCTGACAATGATGAGAGGTAAAAGCATGCAATCTGAGAGAGTGAGAGTGAGGGAGAGTGCTGACTAGGAGAGCTTCGCAAATTAGCCCGGTTTTGACCCACATACTGAAACGGTTCAGTCTTACAAGGACGAAAGGAGATTAATGTGAGACCATTAGCAATACTTTAGAGGAGCGCAAATGTCTTTTTTATTAAGCATTGATTATAAAAGCCTGCTTTGCTTTCTTGCTCTATTCTGCAGTTAGTTTGTTTATTTACTTTCGGGAACACCAGGATGAATAACTACTAGTTGACTAATTATTTTCGTAGAAATCACCGTGATTCAAAACCACATCCATTGATGAAATATTACTGTAAAATGAAATTGTAATTAAGGGCTGTCATTTCATTCTGTCCTAGACACAAACACCTGAGTACATTTCACCACCTAACCCTGACCTCCATCCATCCATCCATTATCTATACACCGCTCATCCTCACTAGGGTCGCGGGGGGCTGGAGTCAATCCCAGCTGACTCAGGGTGAAGGCAGGGGACACCCTGGACAGGTCACCAGTCTATCACAGGGCTACACTTAGAGACAGGCAACCAAGCACACTCACATTCACACCTACGGACAATTTAGAATCACCAATAAACCTCAACATGGTTTTGGACTGTGTGGGAGGAAGCCAGAGAACCTGGAGAGAACCCACGCTGCACGGGGAGAACATGCAAACTCCACTCAGAAAGGTCTGGTGACCTTCTTGCTGCGAGGCAACATCGCTACCAACTGTGCCACCTTGCAGCCCTAACCCTGACCTGGAAAAGCTTAATATGAGCTTTTGACAAAGTTGGTTGTTATGTTGAGGAGAATCACTAATGAAGACTTTGTCACTCGATTTGGTGATGCCTCATTACTAACCAATGGAGCCGTCTGGAGCTTCCAAAACTTCATCACGTACATTTCATCCCTTAATAACACACTGTTCTCTGCCAACACACTATAAGCCCTTACCTCCTCTCATTTAATGGTAACAGGTCTAGAAAAATGTACAAGAGCCGGGCTGGGTTTGAGAGACCACTGGATGGACGGTGAGAGAATTTAATTACCCTCACTGTTAAAGCCTCCTCCTCCTCCTCATGTTCGCTCTCACACATCTTGCATCTTTCCTTCATGTGCCAGCTGGGAAAGAGAGAAAGAGAGACAAAAAAAAAAGAAAGCAAAAAAACCCCACTGAGGGTTTCTGATTACCTGTGGCTGCGAGTGTGAAATTGTTGTCATGGCTGAATGGTGCACCTGCATAGATTTAAGTTTCTCAAGTGTTTAAAATTATGCCAAATAAAAGTCTGTCAGAAGAGGAAGCCGACATTTTGGAGGAATGAGTTATTAGACTGTGAGAAAATATCGGCAGGTGGTGATTAGACTTACAAAGCCCTGTTCCCCCGGAGCTCTCTGGTACGAGCTCGGTTCATACTTTAATTCATTCTCATTCTGCTCTTTCCTGTTATTTTTCATTCATTACAGCAACAAGCATGGATCTACTGTGACCCACAGACAGCTGTTTCTGAACCACTGGCATTCTGTTGCGCCACCAATTATCCAAAAGAAGCTCATGTAAACAACCCTTTTGATCCCTCTCAACAGCGTCCAACCGCACAGACCCTCTGTCAGAACAAATGAGTCTTAGACTTTGCAAAGGAAAAGAACAATTTGTGTTGCTGTGAGGATTCTGTGCCAAAAGCTTTGTTTGTTGTCAGTAAAGCAAACATGGTGTGGGGGCAGTGAGATTTCAAAGTTAGCACACCAACCGTCACCTGTTGAGGGGAAACACACCACCCACCCGCTCGCTCGCTCACACACACACACCTGTGTTTCTATTTAGACGCAAATGGAAAGAATCACAGCAAACAGCATGCATACTTTGCTTTTGAAGCTGACATTTTATTTCAGTAGAAAGACAAAGATTCGCCACAGGAGCGACGAGATGATAAGACATTTTTTAAAAAAGCCAAAAAAACACTTTAAGCACAAATCTAAAATGTTATCCAAGTTACTTTTGCGTTGATCAGCACTTTTAACTTGCTTCACATTTAAAAACCCGCTCGTCTCGTCAATGACAAATTCAAACTAAAAACACTTAAAAATTCAGGTCTTTATATCGACAATAAGCGACCAGTATTTGTAACATAATACTCAACAGTGAACTGCATTTCTAGCTTTGTGATCCCAGTATTATCAAATAATGAAAAAAAAAAATCACATTCAAAGATTTTTGCCTGAGTATAGTGTTAAATACAATGCAAGACTGAACTATAATATCTGAGTAAATTATGCACTGGTATATTTTAAAGAACAAAAGGCACTATGCTCTCGCTCCTTCTGTAAATGTTCATAAGACTTAACATGTAACTGTTGTTCGGTTTACGACTGGAACAGATCGCAGACGGCCAGCTGTGTCTTAGACACAGACAAGGCCGGGTACAGAGGCTCAGTAAACCTGTGCTTGAAAGAATGCATTAAAGCTAGACTGCCCTCTGGTGTCACATTAAAGAATGATAAAATACCTTCTTCAAAGTCGAGGTACACTCCTACTCTCTGCAGCCCATCTGCATCCACAGGAAACGTGGCCTTATTGTGCAGAGCTTCCACCTTCTTTTTGTCACAGGCCAGGCACCAGGAGTAGCTGTTGAAACCCAGACGAGAGCTGTCCTTCTGGCCTTTCCTCTCTATCTGACCCTCACACAGCCCCACCTTCCAGCGACCGTCGTCCACCGACACGCTCGCCTCCCAGTACCAGCGGCCCCCCTCCAGGCCACAGGAGGCTAGGATCTGAGGGAAAGAGCTGAAGCGAGCCTCGTGCTCGGTGTAGGCCTGCTGGGTCTCGCTGTAGGTCACCCTCCTGTTACTGTCGGACACCTGCAGCTTCGGATGGGCTGTATCTTCATCCAAAGAGGGGATGATGCCATCTGTACGCAGGAAATTTAAAAAAGAAGAATTTAAATGACTAACAGAATGTGCAGCCAAGTAAATATCGTTTTAGTAGCTGTGATTCAGAAAGAGGTGTATAAAAAAAACCTCCAGTCTTACAGAGCAGCCGGTAGAGGTCTCTGTCTGTGCCAGGCATGGTGACGACAACGTTGTCCAGCCGTTTCTCCGTCCACCGCTGCAGGCATCGCAGTCGAGCTCGATCCACTTCCTCTGGAGCCTCAAACTGCTCCACACAGCTCCTCGTGTCACTAGTCATGGTGACGACAAGTAGAGTGAGTGAAGAGCATTAGGACTATTAGACTAGTGGACGACAGTGGTTGCTGGCCAGTAAATCCTGAATACAATACGAAAGAAAATCAGAGCTAAAAATGTGAAAAAACAGGCAACTGTGGAAAAGCTGAAAGGTTCTGTGCCAATGAAAAACTTCCATGATGATTCCACTGATTTCTTTTGATCTGTGCATACTGTAGCGAAATAACAGAACTGTGATTTTCCCAAATCACAAACGAAAAAGCTTTTTCTCACTCATCTTTGGTGGCACCTCGTATGCAGATAGTTTTGTTTTATTTTACCAGGATGTTCCAATATTCACTCTCGGTGTGTGGGGGAGGTAATTTCTTTTGCACTCACACCTCAATAATAACTTGCCTTCAAACAAATCAAAAGCAACATCTCTTTCCAAACGCCACAGAACACAGTGTCAACTATTTTCTTTTGGACTTTTTCTACAGAAGAAAGTGTTTCCAGATAAAACTGTCCACAGCAAGGTCACGAGTTATTCTCTGATTCGGGTGAAGTGACTCTTAGACTAAAATGTTCATCTTGGGTGTCTGTCTCACTGAAACTATAATTTGCTGGTAACACATTTAGTTATGTTCAACAAATGGCCATTTTCCATGCACACAAAACAGAAGTTAAAAGTCAACCACTTACATTTGGCCAATCTTGCTGTATTCCTGCAATGTCAGAAAAAAAGAGAAGTTATTGTGTTGTGTAAATACTTATATAAGCCAACAGCAAATCTTGTGTTTTACCAACAAACAAATTCTCCTCCTAACAGCCAACGGACCATGATGAAGGCCTGGTCCTGAATGCGTTTGTCTCCCTTGGCATCAGCCAGGCCCTCCAGCGTGTGGAGGCCTTGTTGGATGGACTGCAGGGAGCTCCTGAGGTGGCCGAGTTTCTCCTCTAGTCCCCCCAGAACCCTGTTCTCCTCCTTCGTCACACACTGAAGAGTTGACTGCTCCTCGTGGCCCAAGGCCTCTCTGATGGCTGCGTACTGCTGCTTCACCCCGCTTCGTGCATCATTTAAAACCACCTGGACAAACATGATGAAAACACATGTAATGACGTTATCTCAGTGACTGAAAGTGTCTACTTATTGCAGTTGGAGGATTACTATTTATAATGATTGGTCTACCCTGCAATCAACAACAACAACAACAACAACAAAATATATATTTGAAGAGTTCATTTGCAAAAACAGATAACTCCATTTTTGTAGATTTTCAGAAAACATATTTTTTTTGTTGCTTGCTTGCGATAATATCAATCAAACTGAAGTTGAGTGGATCTGACTCAGTAGAAATGACATCACCAAAACAGAGATAAGTTTGATTGATATTGTCTCAGGTAGATGATGGAAAAGTGGGTTTTCTGAAGGTTTGTGAAGATGGAGTTATCTGTTTTTGTAAATGAACTCTTCATTTATAGAATATATAGAATTAAGGATTATGTTTCTTAAGCGATATGAACTTCAAACCAACTTTAAAACGTAAAAGATATAAATGTGCTAAAGTGCCAACTGACTTTTAAAATGTACAGTGGAGATAACCATATATCAATAAAGGGATTTTTAACAAATAAAACTCTTAACTAACGTATTGATCGCTAATGTAAAGTCTTTACACGCTAATGAAACAACTGTAGACATCTGTTGTTCAGTGTAGCTGATCATATTTGCTTACTAACAAAACTGAAATTTTAATATATTATCAATATAATGTGACTTTTTCCAGCACATCAGTAAAACAACTATACATCACACAGTAAGGAAACAATCTCCTTTAAAACAAAGCAGTTAAATACATGCACAAATGAGTGAGAAATGAACAGGTAACACTCTTACTGTAAACGTCTCTTTCTTCTGTGTGAGCTCGTTCACTCTGTTCTTCACTTGCTGTTCAGCTTCTTGTAGTTGTTTGATCTCTTCTTTCAGGTTCCCCTGGGGGGAAAAAAACCCGCAGAGATTAAAAACAAATCACAAATTGGTGCTATGGCTATAATTACATCTATTTTAAACCATGTTTACTGTGTGTCTGTAGTACACAGACCAGAGCAATAAATGTTTGGACATTTGCCCATTTTTTGCTCTTCAGGGTCTCTGCTTTGGCTCATTCAATTTAAAACAATGGAAAACTAAATTACTACATTAAAGTCAAACCATATTTACATCCACTATAAATTACCTTGAAACGGGTTAGTTAATTAGCCTCAGAGAGAAAGCCAAGCATTATTTGTTTGCACAAAGAAAGCAACCCTAATCAAAAGTGCCGTGAAAAAGCATTTGCCCCCTTCTCAAATTCTTTTTTGTTTACATATATATATTTCCCCCACTTAAATGTTTGAGACCATCAAACAAATTTAAATATTAGACAAAGATAACCAAAGTAAACACAAAATGCAGTTTTTTAATGATGATTTGATGTTTTAAGGGAAAAAAGCTCTCCAAACCTACTTGACCCCATGTGAAAAAGTAATTGCCCCCCTTGTTATTAACTCATGCATTAACGGTGGCGAATCACATTTTTTTTGGGAAGCTGAGTTCAATTGCACTGACCACACTCAAGCCTGATTACCTCCAGATCTGTTTAATCAAGAAAACCACTGCTGACCAAAAAGAACATAAAGGCTCGTCTTAGTTTGGCAAACAAACATCTGAATGATCCCCGAGACTTTTGGGAGAATATTCTATGGACTGATGGGACGGAAGTTGAACTGTCTGGAAGGTGTGTGTCTCATTACATCTGGTGTAAAGCTACACAGCATTTCAGAAACAGATCATCATACCAACAGTCAGACATGGTGGTGGTAGTGTGATGGTCTGGGGCTGCTTGGCTGCTTCAGGACCTGGATGACTTGCTGTGATTGATTTGAACTGTTTATTTTGTTTTTTTTCCACTAATAAATAAAATCATTTAAAAACTGCAGTTTGTGTTTAATTGGGTTATCTTTTTTTCTGATATTTACAACACCAAAAGTGGGGAAATATGCAAAAAAAAAAAAAAAAAAAAGGAGAATTTGGGAGTGGGGCAAATACTTTTTCACAGCACTGGATGTCAGACACAGTACTTTGTACTCAATGATGTGTTCTTTTGTTCCAGAGACTGAATGTGCTGAAGCAGCGGTCCCCAACCTTTTTTGCACTACGGACCGGTTTTACGCAAGAAATGTTTCTACAGACTGGTCACTGCACATATAACAAAAAAATAACATTTTTTTTCTGCGAAAAAGTTTCACTCACAAATAAAATCACTGGCTAAATATGTGTTTACTTTTTCTTCTGTCTCAGTATTGAGTCTCTCCCACTTTCCAAAGAAGCTCTCCGGAGACATATGTTTTTTTAATACATTAGACTGAGGCTTTGTTTAACAGTGACCATGAAAACTGACAGTCAAGTGCAGAAAACAACCACAGGCGGAAGTGAAGGGAAGACGAGCTAGTCATTTTTCAAAATAAAACACCCTGTAGACTGCGCTGGAATTAAAAATAAAATAATTTTTTTTTATTTTCTTTCTGTGCAGCCTGTCAAATTGTGGTCCAAACTGTGTGACTTCATGCACTCACCCTGAGCTCCCTCTCAGCCTCCCTGATGCCAATGCAGACGTGGTCACGGTGGGCGCCGATGACGGTACACACAGTGCACACACACACTCCACACTGCCGGCAGTAGATCCGGTTTATCTCCTGGTGCTCCTGGCACCTCCAGAGAGAAATGTCCTCCACAGGAGCAACCAGGGTGTGATTCTGGAAGACAGGGGAGTCCAAGTGAGGGCGCAGGTGCTCTGTGCACATGGAGGCTCCACACACCAGGCAGGTCTTCACCGCAGGCTGATAGCCAGTTTTAGGGCAATAATGACAAGGCACAGGGCCGCTATTTGTGTTCTCTGGCCTGGAGACGATGCCAACACGACTTGGGGATCCTGAAGCAGCTACAGGACTTTTATTCAATATCAAAGTTGCCTTGCTGACATGACGCACAGGAGATGCATTTTGTTTTGGAACTGAGACCCCAGGAGAGGGATCAGAGCTGGCAGATGAGACAAGTTTCCTTGGCAATACAGGAATTCCTGTCACTGGTGTGTCTTCTTTGGCGGTTGCAAGAGGAGGTGAATCACACAAATCTACCTCATCGGAGCTGTCGGATTCATCCAACAGGACGACTTCTTTTGATTTATGCTCGTTCTGCTGAACCGGGATGTCTTGTGGCCCATCGCTTGCAGGTCCTGCCTTGCTGTCAGATTTCTCACTGGAAGACGCACCATCACCACGCTCACACTGTGTAGATTCTGGGTGCACTGCTTTGTTAGAGGTGTCGGCATCTGTCGACCGCCCAGGTTTGTCTGACAAGGAAGTGGTGGGAGTCTCTGCGTCAATGGAGCGATTAGCGCGAGACTCCACAGTTGCCCGCTTTGTGTCAGGTTGCTCAGGTACAGGCGTGCTGGCCTTCCTCTTCCCGAGTAGCCGACTGGTCAGTGAGGGCCTCCTCAGTGTCGAGTCAAATGTAGTTTGTTCATCATTACTGGATGTGCCTGTAAAAAAATACAACACATATTAAGCAAGACTCGTCAGGGGGAGGGTTGACTTATCACTTTGACAACAATACTTCCCATAAACGCCTGTAAGTCTTCTATTCTAGCTTGTTTACACTTCTGTGATGTCAGCTCACTTAGGAAAGACAGAAAGAAAGATGAAGCTTTCAGTGCAGCCAAAGCAGTGATGAAATCTATGTTGCATAACTCATAAACACTTAAATCCAAAATATATATTATATAGGCCATGTCAATTTATGTCAAACACAGGAAAGCTGCATGAGCACATGACCTATGAACACATGTCATGGTTAGACTTTCACCCTCTTTGACTATTTGCTTAATAAAAAGTAAACGACAAACTTTGGCCCTTAAAATGACACTTAGATCGAGCCTCTGATCCCTGACACAAGAACACAAAACACTGCTGCTACTGATAAATTACACAAAAGCTTTTAACCCCTTAAGGTTCACAAGTCCAAACATCAGCAGACTGAAATTCCTGCTCCTGCATTTTCGATGGCAGTAGCCCCAGTAGTACGTGTTATGAAACCCCAAAGCCTCATAGTTCAAACTTAGTAAACAATTTTAAGATTCCAATACCACAGCAGCAGCAGTGTGAGTTACCTATTTTGTAATATGAGTCCATATACAGCAAAACAGCTGCCTCATGCTTTCTCTGTGGCATACAGAGGCACATATTTGATGAATCACGATGTGCAAGAGACTTTTTTCACTGTAAAAGTCCACAAAATAAAACTTTTATATTTTTATCCTATTTTTTAATAACAAAAATGGGGTAAATTACAGCTGAACATTAAAATTTGTTATCCGAAACAATGCATTTACATTTTTAAGGGTCGTTTATGCTGCACACTGATCAATTACACTCGTGCTTTGACTGACATAAGCTAAGTTTTGTTATTTCACAGCCACATGTCATGTATTCTGCAGCGTGTCTGACCCAGGATTTAATGTGTTGCGACTCTGGTTTTACGATTTCATGCCGTCCTCCTCGTGAGACAGTCCTGCTTTTGATGGTGTCTCATGTGGCAATACTCCATCACATGTTTTAAATTTTTTACGCAGAGAATATTGAACTGAAACTTAAAAAATTGATATTGTAAATAAGAAAAATTAGAATTTTCCTCTAACTCTAACTGTCCAGTCCTAGTGTGGTGGTTAATGGTTTAAAGATATTCTGACTCATAAATCCAGTGACTAAAAGGAAATGTGGTCATTTACATAACAACTGTAATTAGGTAAAATGTTAAGGTACCTGTGCTTTCCTTGAGTAGTTCAATTTTATGTTACTTCACATTATCATCTCGGGTGCCCCTGTAGCTCACCTGGTTGAGCGGGCGACCCATGAACAGGGGCTGTAGTTCCCCAGCACGGTGTTTGTGAGTTTGACTCCCGCTCATGACAGTTTGCTGCAAGGTCTCTCCCCATTCTTCTCCCCCTTTCCTGTCTCACTCTCTCACTGTCCTGACTAATAATGCCATTAGTCAAAAATGCCAGAAAAATAAGTCATCCATCCATCATCTATACACCGCTTAACCCTCACTAGGGTCGCGGGGGGGCTGGAGTCTATCCCAGCTGACTTAGGGTGAAGGCAGGGGACACCCTGGACAGGTCACCAGTCTATCACAGGTCGACCAGAAAAATAATCTTAAAAAAAAAGAGAAATATTATCATCTTCATAACTCAAGTCACTGTTATTTGTATAGAGCATTTAAAACTAGTTGTTGAGCCAAAGTGTGTTCCAGCAGAAAGTAAGACTGACATTAAGAATGTAAAGATTAAATATTAAGAGTATTATTTATTATGCACATTTTCCAGACTAACATAAAGTATTACAGTTGGTAAGACCCTACAATACTATATAATAGACACAATTACCTGAATTACTTAAATATTAAGACGTTATGATAATATTTATTACACAAATTTACCCAACTTCTTTAAACATCAAGGAAAGGACAATATTATATACTCTAACCACATTGGAAGTAACGTGGACATTTATCCTAAAGACACAGTTACTTCACAGATTAAGATTTTACATTACAAAACAATAACAACAACAATCAGAAGAAATGCTGTATAATAATAATAATAATAACATCGTCAAAGACTAAACTGGCTGTTTAGCTTTTTGGTTAATTGATAAAAAGTTTGTTTTTATTTTAAACTTGCTATCAGTTTTACTAAACACAGTAAAGCAGATTATTAACACATTCTGCGTCACTATTTAAAACTTGTCCATATGTCCTCATTTATTAGCCTCTGGGGCCATTTTTGTGATTATCCACACTGTCAATAAGTTTTGTTGAAACCATTTATCTTCCAGTCAAGTTAAATTATTAAGGAAGCACATTAAATTCGTTGCTAATTTGACTTCCTCTAAACTGACATTAGCATCTTTCGGGGCGGTAGTCCAGTTTAGTCCAGATTTATTTGGGTGCCAGAAGTATAAATAACCCACTTATCGTTAATTAGCTACAGCATGATGTTAGCTAGCATTAGAACGCACTGACAAACAGCATTATTAGCTCGTTGCTGTTTTACATCCACTGGTTTCTAGTATGTTAGCGGGAGCTAAGTTAGCTAACAGCTAGCTATGTAAAGTTAAAGTTCTATCTAATCTATTTTATGTCATTAGCCCCTTTTAATAACCGTCCCTGTATCCGTTACAGGTCCACCGGTACCGGAGTCCAACTGTACCTGCGGAGCTGCGAGGCTGCGTCCGTCGACTAGGAGTAGGCGGCCGGATGCGGTTGTTGTCAAACGGCAGAGTCTGGTACACAGTCTTACACCTCCACTCCGGGCAGTGGTACGGCCCCGTCGGCGTGACGCTCCACAAGTCCCCGATGCACCGCTGGCAGAACCGGTGGTTGCACTTCAGGGTGACGGGGTCCCGGGTCGGCACGTTGCAGAGCGGGCACATCGCGGGGGTGTCCAGCGACGCTCCCATTTTGTTTCTGGCTGATGTTTAGCTTTCGGTTTCCGCGATTAGAAGCAGCGGAGGAGGAGCCACAGGTTTGAATCCCGCTCCCCCTCCCACTCACCGGGCCTTAAAGCTGCAGAAAACCCGCACACACACCTTCTGTCAGGTATGAGCAGAAAACACTGCGAGAGCTGAGCAGAGCTGCCCTCTATGTGTTTTTGTGCACAAAATATGCAATTAGATATTTAGAAATTCCCAAAATGCCATCTAATTCTGCTTCCACTAATGTCCAAATATTCC